GCGGGGGGGGGGGGGGCACCGGCCAGGGCTGGCCCGACGCGCTCGACGGAGCGGGAGGCCTCTCCTCCTCCTCTTCTTCTTCGCGCCCAGCGGGGGGAAAGCGGCGCTTGGCGGGTCAGGAGGGGGAACCCCCCGGAGGGAACACCCCCCCCCACCACCCACACACAGAGGCCGCCTTTGCCACCTCGCCCTTCCCGAGGACTCCACCTCGTGGCCAAGGCCCTTCCTGACTCGGAAGGGACTGCTGGGCGAGGAACGCCTGGGGGCAGGTTGGCCCCGCGGCAGCCCCTTCGAGCCGGGAGGCAGGGCCCCGCGCCCTCGCCCAGCCGAGCCTCCAGGGCCAGCGGCAGGGGGGAGGGGCTCTCATCCGCACCGGGCACTGCCTGTCATTACGGGCAAAGACACCTCGGAACTGAATTCCTGTAAGGAGAGCTGGTGTCCTTTTCAGTGTTGGACTAGGAGCCGGGCAGAGCCCAGGTATGACCCTCCCCCCCACCTGCAGTGAAACTTCCTGGGTGACCGTGGGCCCCTCGGCCTACCTCAGAGGGTTGCTGTGAGCTTCTTTGGTTCCCCGCTAGGGAGACGGCCTGGGTTTAAACAAAGTCGGCAATTAAACCTGTGCCCCCAACAGCGCCTGTTTCTTCAGTGCTCCTAAAGAACTTCAGCATACCTGCAGGCACAGGTGCGCCCCCTGCCACACCCAGGAGCAACCGAATCCTCACACCCTGACAGGCTTGTGTGGCTCAATGCGGCATCCTGCGGCAGTTAATTTCCTTGCAGTGGAGGCCCCCGGTTGTCATCACACTCTACTTTTTTCGGAAGAGACTCAAGGGAGGTGGGCTTAGACACTCAGAACAGCCCGGTGGGCTCAGACCCGGCCTCAAGCCCCTGAGAGCAGCTGGGCCCCCTATGCCTTTGGGTCCAGGGTGGTTAAAGTCAGTCATCCCACACAGACTTGCAGTCTTGAAGGGCTGTCCTGTAAAATGGAGCGGATCTATTCTCTCTTGCTCCAGATTGCAAGACTAGATCAAATGGGTGGAAATTGCAAGGGAGTCGTTACCGGCTCAATATCAGGAGGAACTTCCTGACTGTGAGGGTGGCTGAGCCGTGCGACAGACTGCCTCGGGAGGTGGTGGAGGCTCCTTCGCTGGACGACCCTCTTTCGGGTGTGTTGTAGGGCTCTCTTTCGGCTCTGCTCCTGCAGAGTGCAGAGGGGGTTGGACTAGATGACCTGCAAGGTCCCAGTTCCAACTCTGACATTCTGTGATTCTATGAAATACCGTCCAGGAGAGACACCCCTCACAGATTCCGATGGAAGGGCCTCTTCACGCACACCGAGGACAGGGAGGCCGAGGCAGCAAGGGCCTTCTTCACACCTGCATCCCGTTGCCCTTCAAACAGAGTGGGATTGATTCCCCGCCCTTCTCTCGGCGTGGCTTACAATCTCCATCCCTTCCTCTCCCCCACAACAGAAGTGCTGTGGGGTAGGTGGGGCTGAGAGAGCTCTGGGAGAACTGCTCTCTCTTGAGAGAACACAGCTCTGAGAGAACTGTGAATGACCCAAGGTCACCCAGCTGGCTGCATGTGGAGGAGGAGTGGGGAATCAAGCCTGGTTCTCCAGATTAGATTCTGCTGCTCTACACCAAACTGGCTGTCTAGTTCCTCCTCTGGAGGGCCAACTACAGGGCACAGAGGCTAGGGCCTTCCCCTGATGTTACCTCCTAGCACTGGGATTCAGAGGCTGACTGCCTCCAAATGTGGAGGCTCCCCCTCAGTCACCATGGCTATTGAGCCACTGATAGGCCTCTCCTCCACAGACCTAATCCCCAGTTTGGTGTCGTGGTTAAGTGCACGGACTCCAATCTGGGAGAACCGGGTTTGATTCCCCACTCCTCCTCCACTTACACCTGCTGGATGACCTTGGGCAAGCCGTAGTTCTGATAAGAGCTGTCCTTGAAAAAGAGCAGTTTCTGTCAGAGCTCTCTCAGCCCCGCCTGCCTCACAGGGTGTCTGCTGTGGGGAGAAGGGAAAGGGATTGTCAGCCGCTCTGAGACTCCCTTTGGGTAGTGAAGGGCCATGGGGTATAAATCCAATCTCCTCTTCTTCTTTATAAACTATCCATGCTGGTGGCCATCACTACCTCCTCTGGCAGCCAATTCCACATTTCAACCAATAGGGAAGCCTTTCTTAGAAATGTTCCTAGCTGAGGGCTCTCCAAAGTGTGGGCTGTGACCTATCACCACCAGTCACGGAAGAGGGGAGAGGAACGCTTTCCACTCCGTGTTGCAGCAGCAGGCAGTGATGCCAAAGCCGCGCTGGTAAGAGTTCCTTGAGCAACAGTCCCAGAGGTTAGATCTGCCCCCCGCAGGCACACTCCACAAACAGAAACAAGACTCTCATTTCCCTCCCTCCCTCCCTCCCTCTCTCTGGAGCTCACACATACAGAGAGGAAATCTGATTCAAGCAGGGGCCCGTCCTCCCTTGATGGCAGCGACTGAGCTGCCCTGAGCCCATTGGAAAGGGTGGGATGCAAATGTGAAAAATAAAAGAAGACTCTCGGCCGCTTGCTTAAGTTCCTGTCCCATCAGGGATTTCCGTTCGGCAACCGAGCCCCCAGATCCCCTTGCGATCTAAGCCGCCGATTAACCGCACCGAGGCCAGGGAGGGCAATGTAATGCTGATTTTTAATGTCCCTAAGAACTAGGAAATAAAATCAAAAATAGACTTTTGCTTTGCTCTGTTGACCGAAGTAATAAAATGGTTAGTGCTGTTAAATTAAATCCTTTAAAAAACAAAAAACAAAAAACCCCACAAATCTCGGGAATCTCCAAGACAGACTGGAGCTCCAGGCAGAAATCGGGACAACTACAAAAATGGCAGCCAAGACCTCCGTACACACACGGAAAAGGAGCGCCTGTGCTCAGCGGGTCGACAGTCAGCGGCATCGGTGAGAACACGCAACTGGTACACGCAACGGGGCGAGAAACGAGAGAAAGGCAACGGGGGTGTGGCCTGCGTGGAGCTGAGGCGTCACACACGGACAGGTATTTACATTATAAACACACCTGGGCCAGAGAGTCTCTCAGGGCCCAGCAGAGCCCGCGTTCCCCCCTCCCCCCCCATGGCAAAAGTAGTCCCGGGCCCTGCGGGGCCGTGCGGAGTCAGGGCTTGGCTCCCCCCCCCAGCTCCTCAGGCCTCGCTCCGCCTGCCAGGGCCCCCCCACACACACTCAGGCCGCTCTCCCTCCATACCATCTGCCATGGCTCCCGGAGGATCCTCGGCCGCTCTGGGTCTGGTGCGCGGGGGGGTAATTGGGCGTTGTCTCGCGGCTGGTGCTCTGCTCCCGAGCGGCCTCGCGGTCATCGTCTGGGGCAGGGGCGGCGGCGGCGGAGGAGGCGGCGGCCAGGGTCCGTCCCGAGTGCTTGTAGGCCGTGGTCAGCTCCTGCAGCCGCTCCGCCGTGGGCTCCCATTTGGCAAAGCCCGCGTTGTTTTGCAGGAAGATGACGGCCGTGTTGTGGACGGCCTTGTAGTACATCTCCTCCCTGCGGCAGAAGGCAGCGGTCCCTCAAGAGCCACTCCCAGGCTCTTCTCCCCCCTCCCCCCCCCTCGGCACACCACAGGCCAGGCCCTGGGCCCTCCGGCATGGGCAGCGGGGAGCAGAGGTCAGCATGGATGGCTGTGGGCAAGATGGGCCAGTGCAGCAGGGGAAAGGGGCTGGCCCCCTGGACCAGTGCAGCAGAGGAAAGGGACTGGCCCCCTGGGCCAGGCAGTGTGGCTCCGGCACCTAGACCAAGGAGGCAAGCCCTCCCCCTCTTCTGCACCCGTCCGTCCGTCCACCCACACACACACACCCATGACGGACCCACCACCACATGCCCTGGCAATGCCACCCACGGGCTAGTCACACACAGCAGCCCCCAAAGAGTTCCGCGTTTCTTGCCCCCCCCCCCGGACTTAGTCCCCTACAGTATTGCTCCCTCTGAAGCTGTGGAGTCCGGCGAGCAAAAAAGCCTGCTTTGTGAGCTCCTGGCATTAAAGCTGCGGGCGAGCGATCGGGCTGCTGCATAAACTATAGTTTCCTCTGGAGCCCCATCCCTTCCTGAGCGGAGACAAAAATGTGTGATCGGAGGCTAAAAAACTGTGAGCTAGCTCACACCGACTCAGCTTAGAGGGAACACTGCTTCTGGGGAGGGTTCGAGGGCATCCCTGGACTGCCGCCGCTGCTCTCGCTTGGCAGGGCACAGAAAGAGAGGGCCTGGCACAGAGCGCCTCTCCAGGAGGAACCCGAAGGAGCCAGGCAAGAGGGAGCTCTGCCCCCACGGGTCTATGGGAGTGGGGAGAGGGAAGGAGGGAGTGGGGAGGGAGAGAGGGAAAGATAGAGGGGGGGAGTGGGGAGAGGAGGAGAAAAGAAGAAGAAGAGATTGGATTCATACCCCATGGCCCTTCACTACCCAAAGGTGTCTCACAGCAGCTTACAAACTCCTTTCCCTTCCCCTCCCCACAACAGACACCCTGTGAGGCGGGTGGGGCTGAGAGAGCTCTGGCAGAAACTGCTCTTTTTCAAGTACAGCTCTTGTCAGAACTACGGCTTGCCCAAGGCCATCCAGCCAGGTGCAAGTGGAGGAGGAGTGGGGGATCAAACCCGGTTCTCCCAAATTAGAAAAAGAGGAGGAGATTGGATTTATACCCCATGGCCCTTCACTACCCAAAGGAGTCTCAGAGGGGCTGACAAACTCCTCTTCCTTCCCCTCCCCTCCCCACAACAGACACCCTGGGAGGTGGGTGGGGCTGAGAGAGCTCTTGACAGAAACGGCTCTTTTTCAAGGACAGCTCTTGTCAGAACTACGGCTTGCCCAAGGTCATCCAGCCAGGTGCGAGTGGAGGAGTGGGGGAATCAGACCTGGGTCTCTCAGATTAGAGTCCGCGCACTGAAGAAGAAGAAGAGGAGGAGGAGATTGGATTTATACCCCGCCCTTCACTACCCCAAAGGTGTCTCAGAGCGGCTTACAAACTCCTTTCCCTCCCCCTCCCCACAACAGACACCCTGGGAGGTAGGTGGGGCTGAGAGAGCTCTGACAGAAAGTGTTCTTTTTTCAAGAACAGCTCTTATCAGAACTGTGGCTTGCCCAAGGTCATCCAGCCAGGTGCAAGTGGAGGAGGAGTGGGGAATCAAACCCGGTTCTCCCAGATTAGAGTCCTCTATGCACTTAACCACGACACCAAACTGGCTGTAGTTTGGAGAGAGACGGGGGAGGGGAGGGAAGGAGAGAGAGAGACGGGGGGAGGGGGGGACGCGGAGGAGGCTGGCCCCTACAGAAACAGAAGATGGCTTTTTCCTTCTGAGAAGGGGGCATCCCCTGACAGCTTGGGGGGGGGGGGGGCAACCCCGGGGCTTACTTCTTGCAGACGTGCTGGGAACCGCTGCGGTACTCGTGGTCGAAGGCGGGCAGGATGAGCTGGTGCCGCTTGAACCTGCTCTGCTCCAT